CTTTCCTATATTTAAATCCAATTTCATCTTTCTTGCAATCTGCAATGTTAAAATTGACTTATTTTAAAAGTTTCTGTCATGTGCCAACATTCCGTCTTCTTTCTGTCTGGATCTTGAAACACTATGGTTTCAAATGTAGTTACGCTTAGCAGCCAGCAATACTCCTTGTAGTATGTATGTATGACTGGATCTTGGAAAGAACACATACCGATTAGTTTTTACACTTTGTCCGGAAGCTCTTCCTTGTATTGCTTTGTGACTTGTCTCTACCTAGCCTATAGGGTTATTTGGCTGTCCTTGGTTTGTCCTCTGTGCTACCACTGGGGTGGATTTTCAAAGTCTTGGATTCCTGGTGTGATATCTGCAGGACATGGATGGTGAGCATGGATAGTGAGCACCTCGTGAAAATAGTCTCATTTGGGCCTATAATACGTGGGTGACCCAAGTTACTAGTCAGACTTAGAAAGCTTAAACCATTCTTTAATTGTATCTGGGATATTATAAGATTATTTTACTACTTTTCTTTGTTTTGCCTTTTTCACTGAATGGGAAGTCAGTGGCCGGTGGGAAGAGGAAGAATGGTGTAATCGGGGGCAAGAGTGATGGTCTGAACGGAGAGGAAGATCTCGAACAATGTAGCAAGGCACTGGAAGGGTTGAGAGCCTGTGGCAAGTGGGCAGGACCCCAGCCAGACAATTGACTTTGTACAACATTGAAGGATGGTAGGAAATTAGTCATCATGACTCACTATGAGAGCATTGTACTGTGATGTTGTTAACCAGGCTCAGAAGCATTTCTGTTAGGGTAGCCATGAGGAATTGTGTCTGTAAGGTGCGAGGGGAGCGGTGCCCCTCTTCCAGAAAAGCTGGCAAACCAAGGCAGCTTGTAGACCAGAGGAAGGGCATTGCAAAACGACAGGGCCATGATACTGCGCCTGAGAGGAGCAGCTACCCGTGGATCAGCAGCTCGTTTAACCTTTGTCCTTGAGGTTTTGTCAACTGTTTTGAAGGAAAATGTCGAAGAAAGGCGCAGCAGATGGAGGATGTTTACTGGGAGCTCTTCCTAGGAGCTAGGAGCTGCAGGGCAGAAGGGCAATTCCTGGCAATTGGACAGATGCAGGTGGGCACCAGTATGTGGCTGGGGCCAAAGAGGAGATGCTGATAATGAAGGCAAGAGGAAGAGCAAGGTTGATGAAAACGGTGACAAGGGGTCTGTGAGTGCCCAAGGGAGAAGGGAGCAAATGAAGGGACGGAGAGGTGTTGTGGGCAAAGGGCATTAGCATTAGGTACCTGAGCTGATGGAGGCCAGGCTTGAATGTGCTTGACCAACTGGGAAGGAGGTTGCTGCACTGCCTACGATGTTAAATAATGTGACTCCCGATGGAGCATTTGCTACCTGAGTGAATAAGGAAGATACTGTGATGCAAGAAACTGTATGCTTAAGACTACGCTGGTTGAAAAGACCATGTGCCTGTGACAAGGGGCATATATGATGCTGGTTTCCACACTGGTCAAAAAAAGAAAAGGGAAAGGACTTGTGAGTAGCCTTATTTTGGCTGGCTAGCTGCTGACAGGGATGTCGGGGAGAGATGAGCCAAGAATGTCTTGGAATGAATTCACACGAAGCCACTGAATGGAGCTGTCGGGATCTGTGATGCCAACGTTTTAAAATCTTAAAAAGAGACGGGGGAGGGAGAAGACCCCCCTGAAAGATGGAAAAAAGAAAGAAAAAAGTACTGAAGAAACTGACAATAGGCGCTGTAGGATTAGTCTGCCCTGTTAATGCTTCTGCTATCGTCTGGGCCAAATTTTTGTCGCTGAGCAGTAAGTAGTCTAGCAGATCTTCCTTTTCCCTTTGGAAACACAGATCACTTTTATGGACAAGGTTAAATGGAACTACTCAAATGGTAACAATTCAGCACGTGCTTAAAGTTTTGGAAGATCAATGTTTTGGAAAATGGGAGCTCAGGGGGAAGCAGCTGTGGCAAAATAGAGCTGGGCTGGAGATTTGCACTCCAGGTAAAGCAGCATGAGACTGGCCATAAATAAAGTAAATCCAAAGTCTGTAACCACCTTTGGTGTTCGGCTTGCTTGTTTCATCCGGTTGTTTATATTTAGAGCAAGAACGTCCTGGGCACCACTGCGCATCCTTCTTACGAAACTTTTCATTGAAAGCGCAAGAACTGTGCCCAGAGTGCGCTGGTTTTGTGAACCCTTTGCACATGGCTTGTCCTGACTGTCTCCTGGACTACAGTTTGAGGACCACTGCTGTACCCATTTGCCGCAGCACAGACATGAGTCTCCAGCCAGGGGTAGGAGTTGGCTCTGGCGTGAAGGTAGATTGTTAAACGTGGCATCCAGAGCACAGTAAGTGCTGAAAGAAAAAGCTGCCTAGCAACCCTGTGGGCACGGGGGGAATAATCCTTACTGCTGCAAAACTTCCTCGTGGTTGATGGAGCTTCTGCAAGGCCAGGCGATTTTTCATACCCCAATTAACCTAATACTCAGCTAGATTTTTTTTTTTTTAAATTGCTCATTAAAATAGAGTATATCATGGTCCAGATAATGTGATTTGAGAACAAAACAAAACAAGACCTCAGTGCAGAATTTTTCAGGCTTACCCTGCAACTGAAGAATTCAGCTGGCGTTCGGCCGCGTTAGAGAATGGCAGGCTTTGGCAGGCGCCGAGGAATTTCCTGAGTTATGAAAAGAGAGCATTGGGCACAGGAGAGATGGCAGATAAGGCAGATCTTAGAAAATGATTGAAAGTGGAATTCTTTCCTGTTAAATTAGTTGCTTGATGCAGAAACCACCTAGGTTTCTGGCAGCACAAGCACAGCAAGAAGGCCGAAAAAGGGAGAAGAGAACCACGTAGAAAGGACATGACGATAGTGTTTCATTGAGACTTTTAAGTTATTTTGGTAATAAGCTTAGATCAGTTATGCTTTTAGAATATTTTTATTAACTGGGTATTTTTTTAGTTATAGAATTAGCAACTACAGTCTGGTTGGAAAACTGAGATCATCTTTATGTCTCAGAAATTCAAGAATCCCTCAGTCTTCTATAAATAACAACAGAAGCCTTAAATAGAAGGGGAAACATGCATGATAATACATTTCTTCCCCCCCATATGTAAATCACATGAACTCAAATACTTGGTTTGATGTGCTGGTCAAAAATAAGGATAGATTGAAGGGAAATGTACTGTTGATAGAGGGTAGTGTGAAACGTGATAACGTGATATCTTCTGTATACTATTTTGCTACTTTGAGGTATACAGCATTTGTATGTACATATGTATGATGTTACAGGTTTTCTGTTTTTAAACTTTTGCACGTGGTTAGCTCCAGTGGCTTGATGCTAGCGTATGACAATGAAAGCATGTATTTCTCATGGAAATGTGTGCTTTTGGAGGTATGTAGAGAGGAATTCTCCTCTGAACTGAACTGGCATCTTGGTCTATCTTTGTAGGATTTTATGCTAACCAGTGCTTAAACTCTGTGTGTCTCCTTATCATACATAAGAAAAGTAAATATACTTTTTTTTTGGGAGGAGGGGAAACCCAGACACTTTGAATGTGTGGCATAGGTTTGATTTCCTAGGCTTGGACAAATTTGGACTTTCACTTCTGGTTTTGCAGCTACCCCATCTCAACCGCTTTATGTCCACTCACCAAAATAGACCCACTTATACATTTTCTGCATGTTTTTTTACTGCTTTCCCTTTGCATAATTTGGGTCTGTTTTTTAAAAATTTTATTCTGCACAGTGAAAAAGTAAAACATATGCCAAAATTCAGTTGCAGTCTGTCCTGTCTAGTTTTTGATTAAAAAAAAAAAAAACAAATGCCACAAGCAGCGTGCCTTTTCAAAAGATGCAATCTGTTTTTCTTCTGCCTAATTTTGTTTTACCTGTATTTTTTGCCTTTGATTCTTAGTTAAATTTTTTCAAACTAGGTTAAATCCTTAACCCGGTTTCTGTAGCCAGTGTGTGGCCTTCAGAGGCTTAACCCTGCATCACACCAAGGGGAGAGGGGAGGGCTCCGGAGTGACAGCGTGTTTAAGACCCGGTGGGCAGCGTGTTACAGGACTGACCTGACTCGAGACAACGTGAACAACGAAAGGGATGGTGCGTTGGCTCTCTTAAGAAAGTGCTGGTAGCACAGGAGTGACTGCTACCCAGGCTCTGCCTTCCTGTTGCTGGTACTGAGACGTTAGATTGCGTGTGCAAAACTCGGCCTGAGTTGAAGAAGTTGAGATGCGTTGGCTACTAGTTAGTTTTCAGTAATTCAGTACTTCCTTAAAACTAATCAAGCATGGAGCCTCTTCTTGAACGTCATTTCTCAAGAAGAGACATGAGTGCTGGTGGGTGTTAAGCTCTTGGCATGCAAATACCTTTTCGAAATAAAAATTTGAAAAACACGCCTAAACCCTTCCCCTTTCTATAACATTACTTTTCCTCTGCTAACTGAAACATGGGGTGAATGTGGAGAAGCAACCCAAAAGCAAGCAGATGAGAGAAATCCATTGTTAATGCTTTCATTTAAGTGGTTATTTCTTTGTAAAGTAAAGATACATATTGAGTTGTTGTCTTCATTACTATTATTTTACTAGATAGTAATTATTATTTCAAAGGCTGGGTGTTTGTGGTTGTTTTCTATAGCTATCTAATTTCACTCTGTAAATATTACTTTGGTGTTTCTGCATGCCTGTCTGGTTTTCAGACGCGTTTGTGTACAAAGGGTAGCTTCTGTAGCTGTGTTTGCAATTCTGTAGGAGTGGACCTCTGTGTGATTGCATTGCTTCTGTAAGTGTGCAACTGTCTGAAGCCATTGAATCCTCAGAGTTGGCTTTTTCAGTTACGCTTTGTTTTTTGATGAAAATCTGCAGGGCAAAATGTGTGCTGACATGAAAGCGTCACTTTGTACATGGTTTTGCGAATCACAGGTCTGCAGCGTGGTTGAGGCTGACAGCAGTGTCACTGATGTCTCTTCTGTCCTTAGGTCCTTTCTCACAACTTGTGCACTGTGCTAAATGTTCCCCATGATCCAGTGGCCTTGGAAGAGCACTTTAGGGATGATGATGAAGGACCAGTTTCCAATCAGGGTTACATGCCTTATCTAAACAAATTCATCTTGGAAAAGGTAAGTTTTGAATTCTTGTGTTCTGTTTTTCCCTGTATCAGGTTTTGTATTGGAGTGTCTTTACAGCAGACTTCTGCTTGCAGGAAGCATGCTGGTATGAAGGCACTCTGGTTGTGAGTGTGCCTGTGTGGCGTCATGATGGGGCCGGTACTCTGGAGAGCCTGTGCCCTAATGAAAGGATGCACTGTTCTCTACTTCTTTTTCTCTCCTTGGTTTCTATTTCCTGTTACATCTGGTCATTGTCTAAGCTGTGTTCTTGCAGAACCATGTTCATATTAATAAAGTACCTCAGCTTGAATTTATTTTAAAGTGTCTCGGAGCTATAGATTGTCCCATTTTCTACTACTGCTGTAACAGAATATTGTCATAGGCTCCTTGACAAACAGGAAGGGCAAAAATATCTTTAATGTCTATTCACAAGGTGTTTTAATAAATAGATCCCTTCAGATAGTTACAGTGGGTGACACTAGGGATTGTTGTTAAGTTTCGTCTTGCAAGTTCTTTCTTTTTGTGTCTGAGCATTCTTTGGTCTTCTGTTGTGCCTTGTTTTGAAGGAAGCTCTGGAAAGCCAGCAGGGTTTCCTCTACTCTCCTCTCTGTCTTCTTCCAAGATAGGTAGTCACTGGGCCAGAGCTGGACTCTGGGAGCTGTGCGTTTGAGATTTAGGTTGAAATTTTGAAAGTATAAAAAACTTATTTTCCTGCTTTTTTTCTGACAAATTCTGCTGAGAGATGGGTCTAGACTGTAAAAACCAGCCCATATGCAAATGTATTAGCTTCAGTACCACTGATTTCTTCTACACTTGGGGGCCGATCCCGGAAACCCTCAAACTTTGCTGTTGTGGCTACAGTGATATATAGATGTTGGCTTTCTTTTACAATATTAAGAAGCCCTGAACCGACATGCTGCTGAAAAGTCTAATGCAGCAGTTGCAAATTATGCAAACTCCTCAGCCCACTCTGCTAATTTTTGCTGCTTCTTTATCTACATTTAATACTGGTGGAAAATGTGAGATATATAAAAAATGTAATCTGGCAGCTTGGAAGCAGGAGAAGCTTCATATTTCTAGCTAAGACTGCATATAGCTTCATATATTTAGCTCCTCTGCCTCTCTAGTCTGTGTTTCTCTCATGCCTAGTAAGAGAGTCCTGTTTTATATGTGGGAGTTGTTGGCCATTAATACACATAAAGGCACCCACTTAATGTCTTGGTTGTTTGATGTTGGAGAATCTAGCTTTGTCCCTAAGTTTGTGATCTCACTTCCGCTTTGTGTTGGCTGACTGAGCTCCTGGAAGATTCAACAGAGACCAAGCAGTTTGTATACAAATTTTTGGGAAAAAGAGAAGGCCTTACTTTATTTTGACTGAAGGATTACAGTGCTAGAATCTGAACCACAGTGGTTTTTGTTAACAACAATTGTAGTCAGTTGCAAGCCACTAAGTAAAAAAAAAAAAAAAAAAGCTAGAAATGGAAAGCTTTTTCAAATATAAACATGCTTTATTGTTAAAGGATGTTTATAGGAAGAACAGTTATGGAAATGAGGAGCAATTACATTTAATTAACACTTGAATTTGAAAATTAAAGACCTGACTATATAAGCAAGTCTGTGTGAATTTGCAGTGTTTAGCTACTCTGGGGCACTTTCTTACCTCATGGTGAAAACGAAGGATGAGCTACTTTGCTGTCTCATGAAAGGAAAGAGCGTGACTGCATGTGGTTTCTTGTGTTGTTTTATTCATACACTGATTGGGCTTCCAATAGTTTCCTGGTATACTATTACTTCATCTGAAAAGATGAAAGTGTTAAGGAACAGGATTAAATTACCTATAACTTCATGTTATTTAATCCTGACTAAATGCTTGTAAACTGTTTAGATACGTTACATTAAAAATTAGTGAAATTCTTTAGACTGAAGGCTGTCTTTGTGGACTGGATAAATCTTGATTGTGACATCTCATCTTTTAGAGATGACTTTACATCAGTGCCAAAAGACAACACCACGCAGTGGGATGAAGTCACTGTTTCATAGCGTGTCGTCTTTGTTTAAAATAGACAAGCAAAAAAAGCAAACAAGAAACCCCTTCTTTTTTCATTCTTCCAAGGTGTAATCTGTTCTTTTAAATGGGGTGATTATACAACAAATGTCATACATTTATGCTAGTAAGCCAAGCTACTAAAGAAGAACTGTTACTTTATACCTCCAAATACAGAGGAAGTTCTCTTGATTTCCAGTCATATATCTTTAGGTGAATTAATTTATTTGAGCAAGAGCAATCTGCTCAAAAGAGAATTCTTTTAATCTCAAGATATTTTGCTTTAAAGCATTAGTAAAATATTTAAAGAATGAATCCTTAGATTTCTTTAAAGCAGATATGTAACTGTGACATAATTTTGTTGAGAAGACTTTGTAACCTTTTGAAATAACTTCTGTTGTACTCCTAAGTGCAATTATGGCTTTTTATATTTTTTAGTCCTGGCTTACCCTGTGTTGCCCTGCAATAAAGCCTCTTTATATAGAACCAAGGAGCCATCAAGGCAGGCACGAGTTGTTAGTTTAATGAGGCAAATTGGTTGCAACTAATTTCCTTTATCCAAATAGTGAATTTGAATAAATAGTTTGAATAATTTGTATTACCTTATTGATGATTTCTAGTATTGTGCTGCTTGTTACTTAGCAGACAGATGTATCTAGGATTTTTATCAGTACCTGCTGTTGAAAAATTTCTACTTTTACAGTTTCTTAACTAAGTTAGAAGTACTTTTGCAAATAAGTTTGAGTATAACTTTAGAAATTGTTCAAATATTTTTAATTTTTGAAATGGTGCTTAGAAATGACATCTTATAAATCCAGAGAGATGATTCATTCAGAGTAATTATTATGTAGCCACCTACGCAGGAGTATTGCCAGTCAAAGAAGCCGAAGTAGCACAGCCAAGACTTTTGTAGTATGGAGTTAGCTCTAAGGCAATTTGGGTTTAGCTGCAGGATTTTCACCTTCCTTCCGCTCCCAGCCCATGCAGATGTACTTGTTAGAACATAGGTACCAGGAATAGTTGGCATTGCTCCATGAAATCACTGAGGAAAATTTTTATTCTTTATTAAAGAGAACTATTTAGTTTCATTCCCAACTCGCAGTATCCCCAGAACAACAATTTTGTGATTATATTCTTTGTTTAACAGACAGCCTGATCATTTAGAAAAAAAACCCACAGATGTGAATCAGTTATTTTGAAGAGCTGAGACTTGTGTGCACTCATCTGATTATTGCTCCTGAATAATTCCTAAGCAGTGTCTCTGCTCCAAATGCTGCATGGGTCCCATGAAGTCTATTTCAGAGTCAAGCCTGGATTCTGAAAACAAGACTTACATGTCTAAAGTGAGACCTCTGGCACAGCACAACCTGGTCCTCGGTGGCACAATGGTGCTGAAACTTCCTGCTTGGGTGCTGCCTAATGCTGGTGGCAGTACCATGCTGTAGGTGACTTGGGTTTTGACACACGCTTCTGAGGCGCACGCGATCCAGCTTTGTTACGTGAGTAGAAACCTTGCACTTTCCTTTACCCCAGCCAGGGCCCGTGCCTTTCTCTGCCTGTCTCCCTGTGGTCATTGGTTGCTGCTGCGCTTTGAAGCACGAGTTGCTCATATAGCAACCCACCTTATTTATAGTACTTAGAGCACTTGCCAGGTGGTGGTTGTAAGAAAGGAGATTTCCCACTCTGTCGGCATCTTCCTCAGGAGTAGCATAACCACTAGGATGTTTCCAAGGTGAAACTGCTCATCATCTGAGTGGGTGAAGCTGTTTCAGAAAAGAAGTCAAGCTTCATGGGCAGGATGGGGAGGACAGGCAGGAAAAAGCACGGGCAAAAGCAGCCAAGGGATGCGGCACTGGCAAATTGAAGGACAGAGAAGAAACCCTGGCTTCTAGCCCTTCTTCCAAAGGGTATTTGTTCGCTTAGCTGGTGTTTCATTTAAGACCCATGTTTCTTGCACAACTAACCAGGATGCGGAGCTTGTGGCTATAGCAGCTGTAACTCCTACAGCTTTTACCTTCTTCAAAGGACAGGTGTAGCATGTAGCTAGCCTCTTGCATTGTCACGTGCATTGGTGGCCTGCTCTGCAAGCATGCAAAGTCTGTGGCTTGCTTTCACAGGCTCACTTTTAGTCCTGGAAACTGTACTGTAAAGTGCTTCTTGGCATAGGCTTGGTTTCCTGTTTACTTCTGTCTTTTTTTTTTTTTTTTTCTTTTTTCCTCCACCCACATCAGTTCATCCACTTCCTTAGTCTGTGTTAGCCACTGTGGCTCACCCTCCACTATATTTGACCACTTACTTATAGGAAATCATATAGTTTGCAGTGGTGTCCTTGAAGCATCTAAGATGCATGGTTTGATCTATCATAAGAAAATGTCACTGAACAGTACTGGTGTCATTACTACAAGAGGTATAAGAATCTGTTTCTTAGACATGCTTTCCAAAATCTCAAGGGACTTCCATTACAGTGCAGAACATGCCTTTATCAGTTCCATGTTGGGAAAGAAATAGCATTGCTAAGCTGCAGGGAGATAAATAGCTTTGATCCCTAACATAAAGGAGGGTTTAAAAAGAAAATAGAGGAAACGAAAGCCTTTGCATGCATAAATAATTCACAGATGGGTATGTGCAGTCACTAGGTATGATAAGGATGATGAAAACAAGAGGAATAATCAAGTGTAGTTTTGGCTATAATGGCTTCCAATTTGTTATATAAAATCTCAGTAACTCAGTGCGATAGAAGGGCAGTTGGAACTAAGACAGTGACTTGGAAGCTAAAGCTGACATGCTAGAGGAAACGCAGAATGCAGTGTAGCCTCCTTCACATGAAGTCAGGGTGTTATTAACTTGACCAGAAATTAGAGGTTGGATGTAGATTTTGCTGGAAGAAGTTCCTTAGTTGACCCTAATGCAGGATGTCAGACTAGACTGCTACAGTGCTCGTTTTGGGCCTTGACATTTCTTGCAAACTAGATTTTTCTTGGTGCTTTTTGTATGATTTAGCCTGTTAAACTTTGTCTGTCTGCTATTCTGTGCCATTCATGTGTATTAATTTTTTTAAAATTCAATTTCTTCATTTTAGATTCAAGGAAACTTTGACAAAGTTGAATTCAACAGGATGTGCTGGACTCTCTGTGCTAAAAAGAACCTCTCTAAAAGTCCTTTGCTGATTAGTGATGAAGACGCATTTAAAGTGTGGGTTATTTTCAACTTCTTATCGGAGGACAAATACCCTTTAATCATTGTACCTGAGGAGGTAAGAAACAAAAACTTAAGCTGTTTAACACCAGTTTGCTTAATGTCTCAATTAAACTATGATAATGTTTGCTACTCTCTAGAGATGTAAGAGAAAGTAATCGTTTATTATAAAACTTTTATTCCCCTCTTTTTATAACGTAAGGCCTCAGGTGCTTTTCTTTGTCTTCCAGGGTGCATATGCAGGGATTCCCACAGGATACTCTAGGTATTGATGGCTGTGCATGTCTGTCATTTAAACAGCCTGGACTAAACGGGACATGTTGCTTGTCCCCCAGTAGATACTTTGCTTTTTGTGAGGGCTGACTGGTGCTGGGGAGACTAGTTCCAGTACCAGCACTCAGAGCTGTTGAGGCTCTTGCTTTGCTCATGAGTAGTGCATGTATGTGATCTTTAGTGACTGTACTTGCTTAGATGTAATGAAGATTTTGCACAGTTAGTACATCAATGTGATTCTGAAAAAAAATTCTCCCCTCTTCTCTGTGTTACTGTGATCTGCAAGATGAGTCTTCAGTCTCGTGTCACTCTCCTGATGAAAAGGAGAAGTATGAACTCTTCGGATGATGTCTGTTTCTGATCAAAAGCAGCCACCACCTGAACACTCTTGCTTGAAATGGCTGAAGGAGTAATACCAGAGAGATCACTCTATACTTTTTAGTTCATGAACAAGTATAGGCAATGCCCAAATAGGTATTTCAAGCCTAAAGCAAGATTTCAGTATCTCCACGGTTCTCCCCTTGGGGAGGGGCAAGGGAAGAAGCAGAAAGATCAGAACTGTAGGCATAAGTAATTTCTTGTAAAACCACATACAGAAATCCCATGGGTTTGCAGTTCAGCACTGGAGTACTGATTAATAAACATTTGCAAGTTGTTGAACAGTCGGGTCAAAACAATCTCATGTACATGCCACTACAACATAACTGTTGGACTCCAAGCTATCGTGCCGAACCATAAAGTACAGATAACTCCTCTATCAAAATAAACTGCTCAGTTTTGTGTTATCACTCACTTCTTAGCAGGAGATTTTCACTCTTTACAGTGGTTCCTGTTTTGCCAGACTAGTGATGACAGAGGCCTACCTGGCACGCTATATTCCCATATTGCCATGAGAAATGAGACAGCCTTCTTGCTTGCTTTCCTGTTTTTTCTGTCAGTTCTGGGAGATAGGTATCATGGTTATAAAAGCTAAGACAGCTCCTTTCTTAATAGTTCCAGATTTGGATTTGGTAAAAGGTCAGAGTCACTAATGAATGTCAAAACTGTATCTCAAATCCAGGTCTCTTTTGGTTTGTCATTGCATCCCTCACTGTGCAGCCTGGTTTACCTGAGGGAAGATATTTCACATTTCCTTATTTGTTGGTGTGGTTAAAATCTTCAGACCTGCCAGCTGTGGGGCATTGGCATTGCTCACTTGCTCCTTCTCCACCAAGCCGATCCCCTAGAATCGAGGTGCCTTTTGTAGCTGCCAGGTGATGGCCATGTGTCTATTTGTTGGGAGACGGGCTGCAGAGTCAGCTCTGAGCCCAAAAGAGGTTTTCCAGATTTCATAGCTGCTGTTGTTTGCTTTCCTTCCCATCCTTAATGTCCAGGGTCAAGCCGTATTGATCTTCTACTTGGATTATTTTTAAAATTCTTAGGGTGGATCTGCGTCCGCATCTCCTTGATTACGGCAAGATTTAAATTGTGCAATACTGTTTAAAGAAAGCTTACAGAGCCCGACGAAGAAAGGCTGCTCTGTTCTTGCCGTATACAATGCCTGTATTCACTCTAACCTTTTGCCTGAGACCACCCAGGTAATGTAATCAGCTGGTGGAGCAATGCTGTCTGTTGAACACACTCCCTTCTGGTTTGCATTGGTCCTCCTCGGGTTCTCCGTGATTCGTTTACCCTTTTACACAAAATGCCAAAAGTAAAGATGCAAAGTCTCAATTTCAATCAGTTTTTCTTTTTCTCTGTATGACCTTTTATATCTGCCTTTTGAATTCTTATGTCTGAGGGTTTTTTTCTAATGTTAAATCTAAACTGCAGATTTGCAAAGCATTTTTTGTACAAACTTGTAGTTGTCGTCTTAGTGGTGAGAATTTCTACCTGAAAATAACTCTTTTCAATAGTAGTCAAAATGATACTGGTACCTAGTAAAGGTATTTTTCTTTCCGTTTACTTTTTATGCCTCTTGAGTTCATAATAAAGCTGATTATACGTTTAGTCTTCACCACTTTATGTTGCATTCTGTCATTTCATTACAAAACGGCTTGCACATGATGTATAAAGTGAGGGGATTTTTGCAAAGTGAAGAATGGAGGAGAGGGTGATGGAAGCATCACTGTTCTATGATGTTTATGTTTTGGTGAGACCAATGTAAACCTTATGGGTGACCTCAGCTTCCAGGGAGCAAGCTTTCCTTCCCTCCTTGTCTGTTGCTCTTATCGTTGGCTGAGAATATCGCGACACATAATGTACTGCAGTTTCTGGCTTGGAGCCCTTTGTGTGAGATGCAGCTGTTTCCCCTCCTCCCTCCCATCTCGTAGGCTTTTGGATTTTGGAGATTTTGTTTGCTCTTTATAACAACTAGGAAACTTGTGTGATACTTTCAGGTTGGAAGGTTGATCCCTTGAAGATTTTTTCATCCCATCTTCTGGGTGGGAATATTGTAAGAGAGAGAACTTCTTAGGTCTCCAGGGAATGTGTTGATAGAACTTCATGTGGCTATGAGGATACCTCCTCTTCCCCCTTGGAGGAGCTGCTCTTTGAGACCTGCTTGGGAGTCTGTTGTTTTTTTTTGGTATTGGTTTTTTGGTTTGTTTGTGGTTTTTTTTTTATGAAATAAGTGGTTTCTGCACTCATTTGAACAATTTCACATCTGGAAAACTCCACTGCTTGGGTGCAGTTTCACTTTCTTTGCACTGCTCTGACTAAAGATTGAGGCTACTGTCCTTTGTTCTTGCCTGTTTTGTGTACTTTTGCACTAGTACTGCTGTGCTAGGCCATATTAGACAGCTAATTGTGGTGGGGCTGTTACCCCCATGTGCAAAGTGTTAAGTCTTGATTCCCTGCCCAGGTGTTGAACGGGCAGCAAATTGACAACAGCTGCAGCTTAACCAGAGAAGGGAAAACAGGCTACTTTGGAAAGGTTTCGGAGACATAGGCTGAGGAAAGCTTTAGATGGAGCAAAATGAGAAAAGCAGTTACAAAGAGGGAATTCGAAAGCAGTGGTGAGGTGACACAAGGGCCAGAAGTTGCTTGTTTAGCAGGGGCCAGACTGAAATCCATAGGCAGCATCTAGCCTGTGCTCCTCACCTGCTGTGGAAGAAGAGATGGCAGCCCTACACTTGGGGGAAATAAGGTTAGTAAAATCCAGCATTGGGAAGGGCTTGGGTTGGGGCATGCAGTTTTGGGATGTGACTTTAAGCTTGAGAAGATCCCTCTATGTTATAGGGAGAAGTAAGGTCACAGAGAGACAAGAGCTGGTGCTATGCAGGGCACTGGGCTCAGCTGGTAACGGCTTTGGGCTCTAGTGTAGCTTCTGCTGCTGACTGGTGGGCAGCTGAGAGCAGTTAGAGTTGGAAAGGAACAGAGATCCATAAATGTCTGCTTCGCAAAGATGCTCGTATCTCAGGGAAATGCGAAACGGTATCAAATCTGAAAGCGTCCTTGCCTTTCAGGTGAGAAGCCTTGCTATGCACCAAGTAAATGGTGAACTGGGGGAATGTGGTATTTCAAAGGGATGCAGATGGACTGGAGAAAAACAATGCCGTGTTTTGTTTGCTCTAGTTAAAATTAGTCCTGATGGACAGCTTTCAGAATTAATACAATTCTTGTCTAACAACAGAATTGCCTCCTAGTGCAGTGGGCAGAGCTTTACCAAGCAGCTATATTGCTTGGTATAATAATAACGTGCCCAGAAACTGGGGCCAGGGTGGGAGCTCTTTCCCCTCCCTGCAGCCAGTCTTTTCCTTTAGATCATCTGGGATGCAGACCTTCAAGTGTATGTTTCCTTCAGCTCTCACAGACATTATCTCTTTTGTGAGAAGGGTAAAATAAAGGGAAGAAAGGTGGAGAGAACTGTAGCCATAAGAGGAGAAATATTTCTAGTCTGTCATGAGCTTCCCTTACAACTTACCTCTTAGTTGTTACAGACTTATTTGTGTGCCTTGGTATTGTTTAACCAGATGTTTTCTGTTTTATAAAAAGGTTTCCAAACACTTCCCCTTTCTTATCTGGACATGTGACTGCAGCCTTGGGAATGCTTTATCGCCTGAAAGCTGTGGTATGTGGTTAGCTGTGTTTCTGGGCCACTCTTAATGGTGAAACTTGCAGATACGTACACTGCAAGCTGCACGCTCTTTGTGTGTTGTAATCTTGCGTTCACGTAACTTGTTTTAAATCAGCCAAATGTATTTGATGTCTTTGCTTTTTAAGCCTGGCTTCTTGAGGGAAGAAGATTTGTGCAGGCATTTTTCACTTATCCTCTCGCCTTCAATTGTATTAACACTTGGCATTTCTAATCCTCCTAGTTAGGACAAAGAGAGTCCAAACCTTGTATGGCTCTCTGTGCATTTGAAAATGAGGTGATGTTCTTTTAGACTGAGGAGATGAAAGTCTAAAGTGTCCAGTGGCTGGCAGCCCAGAAAGCCAACCATATCCTGGGCTGCATCAAAAGAAGCATGGCGAGGTCAAGGGAGGTGATTCTGCCCCTCTACTCTGCTCTCGTGAGACCCCACCTGCAGTACTGCGTTCAGCTCTGGGGTCCGCAACACAAGAAGGACATGGAGCTGCTGGAGCGAGTCCAGAGGAGGGCCACGAAATGATCTGAGGGCTGGAGCACCTCTCTTGTGAAGACAGGCTGAGAGAGTTGGGATTGTTCAGCCTGGAGAAGAGAAGGCTCTGGGGTGATCTTATTGCAGCCTTCCAGTACCTAAAAGGGGGCCAACAGGAAAGCTGGAGAGGGACTTTGCAAGGGCATGTAGTGACAGGACAAGGGGCAATGGCTTTAAACTGAAA